ATGGAAAGCGACGTGGTAACACTCGACTGCAGCGTATTAAATAAAGGATCCTTCTTCTTCGTCTTCTCCTCCTCCTTCATCTACTACTACTACTACTACTACTACTACTACTACTTTTCCTTCTTCTACGTCTTTTTTTCTTCTTCTCCTATTCCTCCTACTTTTCCCTTATTTTTATCATTTTCCTTCTTTTTCGTCGTCTTCATCTTCTTCTTCTACTTCTTCTTCCTCCTGCTTATTCTTCTTCCTCTTCCTTCTTCTTCTTCTTCTTCGTCCTCCTCTTCCTTCTTCTTCTTCTTCTTCGTCGTCGCCCTCCTTCTTCTTCCACCTCCTCCTCCTTCTTCTTTTTCTTCTTCTTCCTCCTCCTTCTTCTTCCTTCCCTTCTTCCTCCTCCTCCTCTTCCTTTTTCTTCGTCCTCCTCCTACTTCTTCGTCCTCCTCCTCCTCCTATCTCCTCCTCCTTCTCTTCCTCCTCCTTCTTCTTCAACGTAACATGTCCTTACTGCGTGTGGGTTTGTACAGCTATCCATAATGTCCTACCTTTTGTAACTCCTCAATAAATGTTGTCTATTCCAAGATTATGAATACAAAAACAGACAACTGAAGAAAGCCGAGAGAATACAACGGTTGAAACGTTGAATGCATATAAAGAAATATGAGTATGCTGGTTCGAATAGCAATTCTTGTAATAAGGAGGTGCTGTACAATTCGGATCTTCTAGTCTTTTCGTTCTTTCTTTCTTTCTTTCTTTCTTTCTTTCTTTCTTATGCCGGCAATTCTTACTGTTTCTGTGTCATACCCTCAATAATCCTTTCTTTCTTTCTTTCTTTCTACTCTTTCTTTCTTTCTTTCTTTCTTTCTTTCTTTCTCATTCAGGCATATATATATATATATATATATATATATATATACGAATAAACACAAAAGGAATTTTTTTATTTACCAAGTTTTGTCCTCTGGTGGATTTTATCAAGGCAAATCAAAACTCGGCTCTCCGATTCCTAAATCCGAGCCGCTATCCTCCGTGCCTCATATATATATATATATATATATGTATGTATGTATGCATGTGTGTGTGTGTATGTGTGTAAGGAAAATTTATTTGAGCCGCAGGGGTTTCGTCTTTCTGGTGGGCTTTATGAATGCAAATGTTGGGATTTTATTTTGCAACAAATATTTATAAACAAAAGCTAAAATATCGCTAATTTCTCAATATTTTCAAATTTACGAATTCCCATAAACGTACATCAGAAACTATGGAGGATACTAAGTGATAAAATTTAATGCCTAATAAACAAGTCTGTAAATGTTGTCGTGGTTGAATTTTTTAACAAATTTTTATAATATAATTATTATTTATATAATTTTAGTTTGTGATTAATTTATAAATTATATAATTTAAATGATAGAAGTTTTAAATTCAACGGTTTGCTTTTAATTTGTTCATAATTTTTTAGTCGTGTATGTTGGCTGGGGAAAGTCGTATTTCTTACAGGAAAGGAGATATTTAAAAAAAAAATTCTGGTGTCAGATTTATTTTATTGTAATTTACCGTTTACGTAAATTCTTTTTTCTTTTATTAAGTGTGAAAATATTTAGATGGAATTTGTGGTTGAACTTCGATGTATGACTAATGCATTTGATAAATTGTTATATACAAGATTCTTTTAGTGTTCATAGAGACTTCTTTTAATATCTGTAAGTTTCCCCAATGTATTGTAAGGAGCAGGTTATTTTATATATATATATATATATATATATATATATATATATATATATATATATATATATATATATATATATATATATATATATATATATATATATATATATATATATATATATATATATATATATATATATATATATAGTGTTATGGATCATATATATATAATAATTTTTTGACGTGATTCTAGTTATTTTGATAATGATAAAAAATAATTTTTTGAGTAGACTCACATACTCATATACATATATATATATATATATATATATATATATATATATATATATATATATATATATATATATATATATAGCGTTTACTTTAACATATTTCCGTCTTTTTTGAATTTCCTCCGACGGCCATTAATAATAGCTGACAAAGTCTGAAAGACGCGTAACATAATTAGATGCTTCTTATCAGCGCCTGAGGTTGAGGTTTCAATTTCTCTCTCTCTCTCTCTCTCTCTCTCTCTCTCTCTCTACCTATCTATCTATCTATCTATCTATCTATCTATCTATCGGTCTCTCTCTCTCTCTCTCTCTATATATATATATATATATATCTTAATAATTCATATATATATATATATATATATTAAATAATTCATCGAGTCTAAATGGATCCTCAGGTCTAACTGAAGATCCATTTAGTGAAACCTAGGTAGATAGTTTCCGGGCTCACTAGGACTATATATATATATATATATATATATATATATATATATATATATATATATATATATATAATGAGAGCGAGGAGAAAGAAAAAATTGACATAGATATGAACAGAATGAGATAGATAGATAGATAGATAGATAGATAGATAGATAGATAGATAGATAGATATGGACTGAATTAAGAGAGAGAAATGAGAAAGGTATAGATAGATAAGGACAAACAAGATGGATAGAAAGAGACACGCATGGAGAGAGGGAGGAAAGCGAAAGAAAGTATGGTGATAGCGAGAAGGAGGAAAAAAGTAAAAGACAGAGAGACAGATAGATAGATAGATAGATAGATAGATAACTGAGGACTTAGAAAGAGAGAGATCGAAAGAGAGAAAGATGGACAATCTGTGATGAATTAATATGATTAACTTTACATATATATATATATATATATATATATATATATATATATATAAGTGATGTATTTTTTATTTAATTAATCAGACAGATTTTATTACTTAAAAGTTATTTTTAGCGGGTACTCGTAATTGAGTGGGCTCTGTTTATTTATTAAACAGTATATTTATTTATTTTCATCTCCCGGCCTGAATATTCGAGAAATCTAATTAGAGAAAAATATATCCGTAATTACTCTAATCAACTTTTCTTTATAGTACCTCTACAGTAAAGCAGTTATGTCCCATGCGTGATACACGCTTAGGCGATCATGTATCTTTCGATATATGACTGACGAGGCAGATTTTTTCCCGTAGCATATCGCCATTTCTTTCTGCGGTAGACTAATTGTATTGCCGGTCTGTCCAGCTATTTACCCATAGCTGGGGGGGGGGGAGAGGAAGAAAAAGAGAATTCATACCTTTCTCAAGGGTATTAACACGTAAATGATTGTAATGGATTCAACTGAAATTCGAACTCGGATCTCCGATACCTCAATACAAGCCGCTATCCATGGCTCTTGTATAATATCTGCACTTTATGAATTTAAATACGAGGTTGGCGGCAAGTTCTCATCATTCTGCACATAAAATGACTCGATAAAACCGTAAGTTCTATGGTAATAGCTTCTTCTATCCAATTTCTCACGTGTGGAACTCTCCTTCCCGATTCTTCCCTTTCTTCCCAACTCTGATATTCTCAAATGTAAATTCTTTGATAATCGTTATAACCTGTCTTTTTAATTATTGTTCTTTTATTGTCCCTTCTTCTTAATAGTAATTTTTATCATGTTCTGTAACATTCATTAATATCTTGCGTCCTACTGGCTTTATTGCCTTACTTGGGATGAAATGATTTAAAAAAAAAACTATGAAAATATACATTAACGATTACAGCTAAATTTGCTTGTCGAGAGGAAGCCAGACGAACCTATGCCGAAAAGTAGTCTCGGCTGGAGAGGTAGACAGCTACCCGACCCCGTGTAGTGATTTTCCAGGCGTAGCTTGGATGTGGCACAAAGCCAAAAGTAAGGGGCATCCAGTGAGGATCACTACCCATTTGTAATTGTTCTAGCGAGACAAGCTTGCTAACCATTACACCACCCCGAGGTGCCTTACCCGACCCCGTGTATGCTGTGTCTACGGGCAATTTTCGCTTGAGTCTACAGGCCCCGAACGCCCCACGTAAACACCGGCCTTGTGCCACACCCCGCCTTGTGCCACAACCCACCTCGTGGAGATGTCTCGGATAAATGCCGAAAATATATATGGATAGACAGTGAAACGTAGAAATAATGTGAGGCTATGTCTGTCTGTCTGTGTGTGTGTGTCTGTGTGTGTGTGTGTGTGAGTGTGTGTGTGTCTCCGTGTCTCTGTATGCCAATTGGGCAGTCACTATTGTTACAGCCTCTCTTTTGTTTAATACTCTTTTCTGTTTTCCTTCCTTTCACTCTTTCTCTCTCTCTTACTCTCTCTCTCTCTCTCTCTCTCTCTCTCTCTCAGTTTTCGCTCTTTTTTACTCTCTTACCATTTCTTTTTTTTTTCACTTTTTTCCTTTGCTAAAGTTTATCTCTTTTCCTCTCCATCTCGGCCTATTTTCTTTACACATCCTCGCTTTTTCTTTCTCTTTAACTCCTCTCCGCATTTGCACAGCTTTCACCCCTTTTCCCTTACTCTCTTTTCACCTCCCCTCCACTTTCTATTTCTTTCTCCTTTCGTCTATAGCTTACTTTTATTTTCTTTGTGTCGTTTAACTTTCATGGTAATTGTTCTGCTGAACTTTCCGCTATGGTACCTAGACTTTATGAATTTAAGTTCAGTACTAGATTGGCGGTAAGGTCTCATCCTTATTACAAGAATTGCTATTCGAATCAGAAATGACGAGATATAGCCGTAAGTTCTATGCTAACGCTTTCTTCTTTTTTTTACTTATCGATTGTGGTACACACATCCGGCTTCTTGTACTGCAGTCAAGTTAGATTTTCCAAAAACTGAAATTCAATTTCAATCGTTAACTTATTTCTCTCCCCTTAATAATGTCTTTTTTTCTCATATTTTCTAACACTCAATGACTCTTTGCGTCTTTGTGGGATTATTGCCTTGTTTTGGTGAAATGATTATATATATATATATATATATATATATATATATAT